ACCAAACTGTGCAGTTCTGCAACTGCATCCTGGCCCATCCTCACCTTTCTGCCCCCAACCCTCACCTCCTTGTACCCCCAATATGTTTTTCCCAATAAAAAAAAGAAAAAAGAGATTCTCATAATAAAATTGTAACAAACTTTAGAGCTAACACTAAATCTAACAAATTATTTCTTATATTTTTTTTTATTTTAATGAAAGTTTACAGAGACTTAGGGTTTCCTGCCATTCATTTTTGCACTTTTCTCCCTTCCCAATTCACTCTTATCCTTGATAAGTAAAACTCTTTCATTGCTATGCATTACTCAATTATTCTGATTTTTACCAAACACCATGCTGAGCATTTTCACTCACCTTCCCACTGTATGCACTGAGGCCATAGGTAGTGAAAGACTTCCCTCCAGCCAAAACAATGTCATCACCATATTTAAAAGAAGACTCAAGAAGTGATTCCACCGTGAAGGGAACTGTTTCCATGCTTTCCCGGTCGCGGTCCCACTGGAACAGGTCTCCATCCAAGGAAGGAATGATCATCTTATTCCCAAATACCTAAGACAAAAGTTGATTTTTAAATGGGTCACAAGTCTAAAATCAGAGTAGCAATCATGAGTCAGAGTTTGCATGGCGTCCTAAAATCTGCATGAGTGTGATAACTAAACTTACCAGATGTCCTTTTTTTAACAAAGGTTAGTGAGGGCCTATCATGTGTCAGACACTATTCTTACAGTAGTCAGATCCAGAACCAAAATAAATGGGAAAACAAAAATTACTGCTTTTGCAGAGTTTAAAGTTTGGTGGCATGAGACAAACATCCTAAAAACAAATCATATAGTATGTTAGGTGATAAACATCACAGAGAAAAAAATAGAAGATATGAGAGAATTGGGAAAATGGTTGTTGTTGTAAGGTGCCATCAACTAAGGACTCATAATGACCCTATGAACAAAAGATTTGAACCCTGCCCTAGCGTTTGCCATCATCACTTCTGGCATACTTGAGTAGATTCCTGCACTCACCAAGTCAATTCATCTCATTGAAGGTATTTTTCTCTTTTGCTGGCCCTCAACCTTTCCAAGCATATCCTTTTCCAAGGACCAGCCATTCCTAACAACATGTGTAAATACATGAGACAAAGCTTCACCATTCTTGCCTCTAAGGAGTAATGTAGTTACATTTCTCCAAGAAATATTTGTTTGTCCTTTTGGCAGTCCATTAAATATTCATTACTCTTCTCCAACACTAAACACAGAAACATCATGTCTTCTTCTGTCATCCTTAGTCATTTTCCAACTTTCAGATGTATAACAAGTAACTGAAAAAGAATATGGTTTGACCTACAACCAGGGGAAGATAAAATAGATGAATGGGACCTTCTGAGAATCAAATCGCTATGCACATCCAAAAACTTTTCCAACAGGGTAAAAAAAGGAAGCTACAGACTGGGAAAAAGTACTTGGTAATGACAGATAAGGGACTTATATCCAGAATTTATAAAATACTTGAGCACCACAATAAGATAAATGTAAATAATCCAACAGAAAAATGGGCACAGGATATGAACAAACACTTCACCGAAGAAGACATTCAGATGGCTAACAAGCACATGAAGAAATGTTCAAAATCCCTA